CTATAAATTTCCCTCTGAGGACTGCTTTCATTGCATCCCATAGATTCTGGTACGTTGTATTTACATTTTCATTTGTTTGTAGAGTGCACAAATATTCTTAAGAGTATTATTCTTAGTAGCTGAAAAGTGGAAATAGCCTAGATGTTTCCATGGTTATTGCTTTGCACATCCTAGCAGACCCCTCCACCATTGCTTTTCTTCTTGCTTCTGGACATGTTGGGCTCTGACTGAGCACTGTATTACTACACACTATCACACTGTACAGTGAGCACACAATAGTACAACTGTGATAGTGTCTAGCAGACATATGAGCTACTTCTCTGATTTGTTCACATGTAGGAATGTTGGTAATGCAGGGTCCATTTGTACCTGTGAAAATTCTCAATTTGAATGTTTGTAAGTTGGGGACTTACTGTATTATTTGGCAATACGAAGAAATAAGGCATTGATATACACCACAACATGGATGAACCTTGAAAAGATGCTAGTCAGAGCAGACCACATATTGTACCATTAAATTTATATAAAATGTTCATAATAGGCAAATCTAGATAAACAGAATGATTCCTGGTTGCTTCAGGACGACACACTGGGGAAATCTGGACATGGCCTCCAGTCATCATAGGATTTCTTCTGGGGTAATGAACGTGTTCTATATTTGATTGTGAATATGGGTGCAGAACTTTATAAATATACCAAAAATCATACAGTTGTACATTTTAAATGGGTAAATCACATGGTATAAAATTATCAAAAGAACAGCTGATATTATACCCTAGTACTAGTACATACAAGGATATACTGAGAGGTAGTGAAAGACGGCCTCAAATGTACGTAGGCAACTGGGCACACTCTGTTTATCTTCTGGAGTCAAATGTGCTATTGTCTCCAACATTTATCTTTTGTAAACCTACAGACAATAATGAGGCGGGGGAAGTTCTGGACAAAAAAAAATCTGGGACAGTGTATGTAATCAAAAGTATTACCTAGATTACAATAGAAAGCAGAAAGCTTAGAGCGAAGAGATTTCCCTGGCAACACACAGCCACTGCTAAAACTTGTAATCCACCAGAATTGGACAAATTGTATGCAACTTCAGTAAAATCTCATTTGAAATAGGGAACACTTCCGATAAATCAGAAGAGACTGTGTTTCAGTCAGTTTCCTGTCAGTGTGACAAAATACCTGAGATAATCAGCTTATAAGGAGGCAAGATTTATTTTCGCTCATGGTTTCAGAGGTCCACATAATCCTGTAGCAGCACAGTACATGGAGTGGGGGCCTGTGGTAGAGGAGCTAGCTGTTCACCTCCCAGCAAATAGGAAGCAAAAAGACAGAAAGGGATTGGGGTTCAGTATCCCTGTTCAGGGATGCCCCAACAGTTTAACTCTCTCTCACTAGGCCCCACCTTCTACACGTTCCATCACCTCCCAACAGTGTCACAGACAAGCAACCAAGCTTTCAACACATGGGCTTTTGGGAAATATTCAAGATTAAAAGCTGGGGGCTGGGGATTTAGCTCAGCGGCAAAAGCGCCTGCCTGGCAAGCGCAAGGTCGTGAGTTCAGTTTCTGGTACCGGAGAAAAACCAAAACCAAAAAAAAAAAAGATTGAAAGCTGTAGTGGCCAAATATTTCTTTCTTTTTTTTCTCCAAATGTCACTCCCTGTTCCAACAATGCCTGTACAGAGTTTTAGAGTAAGCATTCAGCATAAGATAAGATTCCTGGTGGGTGGCCTTGTAGTCCAAACCTCCAGTATACCCTCCCCACTTTAGATTATAAGTGTTGGCCTAGTTTTTTTCACCATGAGCAGTAATATCAACAACCTCATATAAGTAACATGCACCTTTCAACCAAACTTGAGCTAATCTCAAGTAAACAGTACTTGAACTTGAGAGGTCTGGTCTCTTATGTTTGTGTGAATAACATACTCCACATTATTTCAGTGAGGGCCCGCCCTCAGTTATTATATTCCTATAATGATAGTTCTCTGTGTTGTTGAGGTTAATGAATGATTGTCCTTCACATGGAAGGACACCGAGAACCTCAAATATGAATAGTTGCTCTGTTTACAGTGATGGAAAGCTAGCCATGACATACATAGCAAGAAATTAAGAGTTTTTCCTCATTTGCACGGGTGGGAAGGAACTAGCATTTGACCAAGACATCTGATAAGTGTGATGGGTCTCTCTCTTGGACTCTCCCTACCTAGCTATTTTGGGGCAAAGCATGAGCCTGAAGTAATTGTTTTCTCATTTGTTATTCTACAACAGCAGGAGCCAACTCTGCCCTTATACCCTTGTCCCAGAAGAACTATTAACAATTTCAAGTTTCCATCAGCTAGAAATATACCTGCCATACAAACCACTTTCCTGCATCACTCACACAAAGGTTGCTGATGTTTGGACAGAGTCCAGCAGAGTATTTTTCATTTACTTGAAGTTGTTTTCAATGTTTTCTTGTTTTCCAGTGATTGAAGGTCAAGTGTGGAGCAGGGGATTGTATTAATAAAGACCATGTGAAGTGAACTGCTGGAATGATTTTAACCCAACACTGACCAGAGAGTAGAAAGCACTACAAAGTAAGGTCTGTGAACAAACTGGCCATCAATAAAATGGTGCAGATTCTGGGGGAAGGCAGAGGAATCTAAGTGTGGGTATGTGTGTATGCATGGATGCGTTGTGAGTAGGAAAACCGTGGCTCACAAAAGGGAGTTTTCAACTGGAAACCTTGCTAGACATATAAAAAGAATAGTTTATTTCTTTGCTCGGTGACAGATGTCTGTTTCCTAGAAAGCTTCACTGCCTTTCTTGGAGAAGACATGGAAATTTTGCCTTCTATTCTGTTTTAGATTTAAGATGTCCTCCAAAAGTCTCACATTCAGCGGGCAGGCCTGGTTAGAGGGGTGGGTCACTAGTGTTGTGACGTGGAAGACTGTATTCTCATTCCCGGCTCTTCCCTCTCTTTCGCTGCTTGCTAGCTGCCACATAGTGAGCAGCTTTCCTCCTCCATGTTGTTCCGCCATGCACTTTTTGCCTTATAGGTGGCTAGCTATAGGCTGAACCCACTGAAGCTGTGAGCCAAAAAACAAAACAAAACAAAAAAACTCTCTTCCTTTAAATTGTGGTTGGTGAGTATTTTATCCCAATGACAGGAAAGTGATTGATAGAGAAAAACTAGTATTGGGAGTGGGGTCAGTGTTATGACTATACCTGACCATGTGGTTTAGAAGCCTTTTGTGGTTGAGAGCTGGTTTGTGCGAAGAGTTTGGAAATATTTGGAGGTGCTGGCTAGAGAAGCTTACAAGGCTATAAACTGAGTTAAATGGGAGAGTCTGGTCACAGATCAGAAGAACAAAATGCTGATAGGAACGTGGACAGTAAAGATCAGGTTAGAAGATTTCAGATGAGAACGAGGACTGTACTGGAAAGTGGACTAGAGGTTATATGTGTTTCATTCTGGCAAAATAATTGCTTATGTTCTGTTTATGTTCTATGACTTAGTATGAAGATTAGTTTAAAGGTGGTGGACTAATGAAATCTGGCAAAAGAGATTTTAAGGCAGCCCTACACTCAGGCTATGGCATGAGTACTGCTGGCTGCTTTTAGCCAGATTTATAGTGAAAATCAGAAACAAAAAGCAAAGCTAGAAGGTAAGGAAAAATTTGTTGGTGGCCAGAAAGGAAGCAACTGTAATGTGGAGACAGAGGAGAATTTGAGTGCTGAAGAGATTAGCATCATTAAAATGAACCAAGCACTTTATACAGGGACAGGAAGAAAGATACCTTGAGGGTATCTTAGAAATCAGTAAGGCCCTACCCACTGCAGACTCAAAGGTGCAAAACCATAAATGTCTCATTTTAGGAGAGAGTCTCTGAGATGACTGCTCCAGAAGGGTCATCTAGGGAACAGCTTCCTTAACATTTATTTTGCCATATTCAAGCACTTAGAAACTGCTGCATCAGGGGTCCTGGTTAATGATCAAGCTGCTGGTAGACTTTAGGATCATCCTCATGGTGCTGGTTTTCTAGAGATGCAGAATGAAGACATATGAGTCATATGTGGCCAGCTATATACCCAGATTTCAGAAGGTCTTTGGGCAGGCAAAAATGTGTGAGAGGGTCACAGCCGCTGCCAGAATCCTATGAGTGCACAGTGTGTAAAGCTGTGAGAGTCTAGTCAATGGTGCAATGGAGACCCCAAGAATCTGGAGATGCCAGGAATGTGAACTATCTGCTAAGGAATGCCACAGGCAAAGAGCAGAGCCAACCCAAAAAGGAAGCCATGTAGTTGCAACCAGGAAGGCCATAGGGGTGGGGCAGCCCAAGCCCACTGAGATTACATTTCACCACGATCCAACCTGGGCGCTAGACAAATAGCCATAGGATTTAATGTTTTCCCTGCTGGGTTTTGGTTTTACTTTGATCCATTTTCTGTCTGTTCCTCTACTCTTCCCTTTTGGAACAGGAACATTTACCCTGGGCGTTCTAACTTGGAAGTCTTTAACTTTCTGTGTCACTTTCATAGGGACATACAACTAAAACTATGCCTTGATTCTCAGAGGAGACTTTGGACTTGGACTTTTCAGTAATGCTTGAATTGTTAAGATGTTGGTGACTTTTAGAGACGGACTAAATGCATGTTGTATAATGAGGTGGACATGAACCTTTTGGACCAGATGCAGAATACTGTGGGTTATGTGTAAAGCATCCCCTGAAAGTCATTCAGAGGTGGGCCCTGGTAAGGAGGGGTGGGTCACCGTGGGCATTCTCATCCCTGACTTCTCCCTTTTCTTCCTGTTTTTTTTGGTCCCCATATGCTGAGCAGCTTTCCTCTACTGTGCAATTTGCCACAGGGTTTCTGCTTTGGAGCCAGTGACCGTGAACTGAATCCACTGAAACTGAGCCAAAATAAACCTCTCCTCCATTAAACCGTGGTTATCAGGTATTTTGTCCAAAAGACAAAAAAGTGGCTGATATACCCTTTATGCCCACCTCCACACTACTCAGACTTACTTTCTAATGAATGAGAAGGTCTGTTGAATCCTTACCACATTTAGTCTGAAAAAGTTCTACTTCATTTAACCTAATGCTTGGCTCAATAATAAATCAATAGTTTAGGATTCACACTTCAATTCTCACTCTATGGGGAGCACATCTTGATTTAGAAACTCCATAAAACATACTCATACTGCACAATCCTTCTCCAACATAATGGGTGTTATCTTGATGGTTTTCAAGTTGTGAATTCATCCTTTAGCAAATGGATAGACACTAAATAGAATGGAGTACTCTTTCCCAAAGGGTGTTCTATGGAGCCCCAGGTTTCCACAGCCAGTTAAGTTTAGGGAAATGCTTTCTACTTCTGGCTCCTTTCTGAATTTCTAAGACATCTCAACTGTAATCTCTTCACTGATATAATAACAATTTTTGGGGAGGAGATACGAAGCATCTGATTACAAGTAAATACGTTTGTTTTTAAGTAAATGGTAACAGCCTGTATTTATCTACATGAATATTAAAGGCTTTTAGTATCTCAAGTCACATGATTTGTATATAATTCTTCATCTTTGAAGTCTAAAAGTTTACAGAGTCACTTCTGACCACTAGTACTTACATTAAATATTACAGGGATAATTTTGGTTCTTATAAGGGAATATTAGAGTTTTATATGCCTTTCTTTTTATGGGCTTATAGTTTCATATTTTCCTTGTCTGAATAATGTAACCAAGAAAGTACAGGGGAGTATCCCTCATCTAAACCTGTTGGGATCAAAGGTATTCTGAAGGTATCTGAAATTTTTTTTCAGATTTTGGAATAGTTGCAAATACATAAAAAAGAGACATCCTGGGGATATGTCTTAGTTATTTGCCTTGATGCTGAGATGCAATACCTGATACCAGCAAGTTAAAGGAAGAGAGATTTATTTTGGCTCCTGGTTACAGTCCATAGTGAACTTGTCTCCAAAGTAGGACAGTAAGGTAGACTGACATGGGCAGAGGAGAAGCTGCTCACATGGCAGTAGGGAAGCAGAGAGAGAGAGAGACTGGTACCTCTGAAACTATGAGCCAAAATGAACCTCTCTTCCTATCAAATTGATTATCTCAGGTATTTTGTCACAGTGATGGAAAGAGAGAGAAAAAAGGAAGGAGGGAAAAGATAAATCTTTCTAGGCCATGCTCCCAGTGACCTGTCTCTTCTGACTAGATCTACCTCCTAATGGCAAGTCAGCTATCAACTCATCAATGGACTATCCACCGATAATTATCATGCCCCTATGATACAATCACCTTCCCAAAACCCTACCTATGAGTGCATGAGGCTTTGGGGGCACATCTAAATATAAACCATAACAGGATGGGACCCAAGTTTAAACACAAAATTTACTTATGTTTCATATATACCTTTTACACATACTCTGAAGATCATTTAGTATAATATTTTTAATAATTTTATATCTGAAAGTTTATTGATGTGGAATTTTCTACTCAGTTTCCTGTTTGCACTCAAAAAGTTTCAGATTTTAGAGCATTTCAGATTTCAGATTTTCGCATTATGGATGTTCAATCTGTATTGATTTTGCTTAAATGTCAGCTAGAAGCTCTTGACAGATAGGATCTTGGATATAGAATGCTATAGTTTGGATCTGGAGTGTCCTCCAAAGGCCCATTGTTAAGAGTTTAATACTCAGTTATGGTGTTATTGGGAGGTAGAACCTGTAGGAAGTGGGGGCTGGTGAGGGGATGTTAGGTCATTGGGGTGTTAGGTCACTGGGGGATATTAGATCATTAGTTTGGCCCCTTCCTGTCTCTTTTTTGCTTTCTGGCTGCAATAAGGTGAGCAGCTTCTCCACTGTCTGCTTCTGCTATGATGTACTGTACTGCCAAAGGCTCAAACAGGGCCAAATAGTCATAGACTGATACCTCTGAAACTATGAGCCAAAATGAACCTCTCTTCCTATCAAATTGATTATCTCAGGTATTTTGTCACAGTGATGGAAAGCTTACTAATAAATGAAGACCAAGTTCTTCAAAATAGAATCATCTACTTATCAAGAACTGTAGCACCACATTTTCCTCACACTGAAGCTTTTAGGATCCTATTCCTAGAGATTTGGCCATCTTAGTTACTTCACAGGGTATGACAGAAAGCTTACCTGCATAATGGTAATTCATAAAAATCATTTTTTATTTGAGAAAACACCAAAGTATAAAAAGATATGCTCTTTAGGGTAAAGTGTACTGCAAAGCTCTGGATAGCCTGTTATTTCCCGAATTAATCTGATCACGGACCCCATTTTCACTGAGAGCCCTCTCTTCACCTAAACTTATTAACCCTCTTTGGGGAAATGAGAATTGAGAGGAAGGCACTGGGTCAGGTTCAGCATGAATCTGCCTCACTACCTGATTGTGGCTAAGTTCCCCCTACAAAAACTGCTCTTCACAGCCTCCTCTGACATCCTTGGCCACAATGCTGATGCATTTAAATAGATTTCTTTGACCTCTCAGACACCCCTGGAAGACTGTGCTTGCAATTCTGTGAGCCGGCATGGATATGCTGACAGTCCTATGGGAGAGGCTGACCCCTG